ATTTGAAAAGGACGAAGAGAGAACGAAATGTGAAATAAGGGTAAATCAGGAATGTCTAGAACAGGTAAATGAAATTGTATACTTGGGGAGTGCTTTCAGCCGGGATGGAAGATGTGATTTAGATGTGGATAGGCGTGTCGCTGCCGGAAACAAAGTCAATGGTGCCCTGAATGCATTAGTAAAAAGGCAAGGCGTGGTGAAGAGTGCACGCCTTGCAATACATAACGCAGTGTTGGTACCGACTTTGTTATATGGCAGCGAAACCTGGGTATGCCAGAAGAAGCATAAAAGCAAGTTGAATGCAGTGGAGATGCGATCTCTTCGTAAAATGTGTGGTGTTACCATAGCCGACCGAAAGCGAAACGAAGAGTATTCGCAATATGACAGGATTGAAAGATGACCTTATCACAAAAATTGATAGGGGCGTACTCCAATGGTTTGGGCATGAGTGAAGACCGAATGGTGAAGAAAATATATAGAGCGAAAGTAAATATTAAAAGGTGTCGAGGTAGACCGAGACTAACTTTCGAAGACCATGTGAGCAAATTGCTCGAAGAGGGGAGGGTCAAGAGTACTCGGATACCTAGACGTGCATGTATGAAGAAGTTAATGAACCTGAAAGAAGCGAAAGAGGTATGTAAGGATCGTGACACATGGCAATCTGTTCTCTCTGGCTACCCCGTTAGGGATTGTGCGTGAAGATAAAAAAAAATCTATATTCTCCCTATTAAAGAGGTTTTGTTTTTTTTTTTTTTTTTTTTTTTTTATAGAATAGGGTGACAAACGAGCACACAGTCCACCTGATGGTAAGTGGTTGCTGCGGCCCATAGACATCTACATCTATCCTCCATTAAAAATCTAAATGCAGATGCGTTGTCACCCGTGAGGACTGAGATGGAATGCCTCGTTTCCAGTAAAAAGGGTCTCCGGTTCTCTACACTCACCATACGAAATACAGCAGCATTAAGCTACTATTTCACGCTGGTATTCTGTGAGAGCGTGGTCCTTCCCCGGTCGAGCCGACCCATTCGTGCTACAACTATACTACTAATATAACTGCAGCATGGCTCTACCACGTAACTTAAAACCTAATCACACAAGCCGAAGCCAAGTGTAAGCAGGTGCTAGGTGATGGTGCTAGCAGAGGTGACGGATGACGTGGTGAGGAATTTGCGTGTGAGTTGGCAGGTGTTGAGAATGACAGCTTTCTGCAGGGTGTGAAGTGTGTGTTGGGGTACTTGCAAAACATTTAGACTGCGTTGTAGGCTTTTAGGTATTATAACTCCAGTAGATGAGATAAGTATTGGGACTATATGGATGGTTTCTGCTCTCCATTGACGCTTGAGTTCTATAGCTAAATCTTAATATTTTGTAAGTTTTTCAGCTATGGTGGATTGAATGTTATGGGTGTTTGGTATGGAATTGTCAATAAGGTAAGTAGTTTTGTTATTTTTATCATACACTGTAATATCGGGCCTATTGAAGTGAATAGTTTTATCCGTGATAATGTTCCTGTCCCAGTAGATTCTATGATTATTGTTTTCTAATATGGTGTCCGGCTTATATTTGTAATATGGTGTAATTTTTTGTTTTGTGCAACCTGGTCATGCCGATGCTTATATTCAGTTTGTGCAAGGGCTCTACAGGCGGATGTTATGTGTTTTATGTTTTCGGGGCTAGAGTGGCAATGTCTGCAAGTATCAGTGGGGAGGTTAGGTGCACGTATTATGTGTCTCTGGAAGTTTCGGGTATCAATGACCTGGTCCTGGATCGCTAACATGAATGCCTCCGTCTCTGGGAAGAGTTCACCGCGCCTCAGCCAGGCGTTCGACTCTTTTTTGTCGACATGTGACAGCTGCAGGTTGTGGTAGTGCCTTCCGTGTAGGGACTTCTGTTGCCTATGAGGCCATCTTCTCTTTTACGTCAGTGATCCGTTCACTGCGTTGTGTGTTTCGGTCCGCAAGTTAAAGTGGTGTGAGGCTGAGGCTGTGAGTTTGTCGGCTAAGGTTACTATTTGGTGGAGAAGTGAGTGTTCTGAGCGTTGATGGAAATATTGTCGAAGGGATTTGATTTGTTTATTGTGCAAGTTGAGGACATCTATTATACCTCGTCCTCCCTCGGATCTTGAAAGAGTCATCATTTGCACGCATGATCTAGGGTGGTGCTTGCGGTGAGTCATTAGAGTGGTATTTATAATACGTTGCAGATTGATAAGGACACCTTGAGTCCAGTTTATTATACCAAATGAGTATGTCAGTATGGGGATTGCGTAACTATTGATTGCTTTTGACACGTTGCGGGAGTTGAGTTGAGACCGGAATATACTATTGAGTCGATGTTTAAATTTCTTTTTGAGACTTTCTTTCATTTCCTTTTGATGGATCTGTCGCGCTTGTTGGAAACCTAAGTATTTATATGAGGCGTGGGGTTCTAGAGCTTCAATCGTGTCTCCTGTTACTAGGCTATAACTGTTGGGGTTAATTTTTCCATTTATAACTGAGAAAGTTTTGCACTTGTCAATTCCAAACTCCATATGAATGTCGTTTGAGAAAGATTGAGTGATGTCTGCGAGGCGATGCAATGACTGTGTAGTGTTACTGTATAGTTTTATGTCATCCATGTACATCAGGTGTGTTAGAGTGGTGTGTTTGTGTGGTGTGATGATAGAGTAACCATAATTGGTTTTGTTCGCTTTCGCAATTCACTAAGCGCATCCTCTTGGAAGATTCCTCGACGTATTAGAATTTCTGATGTTTCTATACAAGACGTTCCTATAGTTTTTAATGTAGTTGTCCAGTGCTGCATTGATTTTTCAAGAAAATTTATAAGTTGTGGGTGAATTTTATAGTGTTGAAGTACATGTAGGAGCCAGCTGTGCGGTACGGAGTCGAATGCTTTTCTGTTCTACCTTTTAGAAATAGCATGTTTCATTTTTATTATTATTATTATTGTCTTGGCATATGGTCTGACACAATTTGTTACTTCGCCTATGCGTACCCCAGATGTGGAAGGTGTATACCTTGCCTGACCTCATCCAGAGGAATATCATGTTTCCGTCGATGCCCCTCTAGGTTCATCGAACCATTTTCTTGTCCACAGTGCGATGCCCGTCACATTAACGTCGCGGTTCCATTCCGCAGGCTGTCGCCGTGTTTGGCACTATTGGTCAACCGATTGGTATAGGATGCGGTCTTTTTTTGCAACCTACCCTTAGCAGGTTTGCTTGTTACTGATATGGTACTTCAGGGTATTGAACTTTATATTCCATCCCCTGTGGTGCCCATCGGAGGCAGACCCCAGCCATGGTTTGGTCGCTTCTGTAAAATAGCCTCACGTTATAAGCAGGAGTGCTAGCAGGCCCGGGCTGATTAAGATTAAGAGTGTAATTGGAGAGTTTTTGTGTTCTTCTGCGGTGGGTCTTGTAGAACTCAGCTCCAATCACATGGATAGTTTTCGAGCAAGCTTGTCTTTCATATCGTCCACTGCATTGCAGTCTTCTAGGCACTGAAAACGATTCTATAACTCGAGAAGAAAGTTTTCGGGACTTTGTGTTATAGCATGAGGGGTCGGAGCATTGACTTCTTTAGAGGTGACCTCTCCAACTTAATGTTTAGGTTCACTGTGCCTGTCACCATTCGGTGACCGCTACCAATTTTCACCTTCGTGATCAGTGAGACATCACTGAACAGTTGCTGTCTAGTCATCATAATGAAGTCAATCTCATGTTTTGTCGAACTGTCGGGGCTCGACCAGGTCCACTTTCTTTGAGTCGCTTCTGGAAAAAGAGTTCATTATAAAGAGTCCCTCTTTCTCCCTGAAGTCTGTCATCTGCTGGACCCTTGGGTTCCATTGCCCTATCCCAAATTTCTCTACCTTCAGTACACCATTCTCTCTTGTGTATAGTTTTGCATTGAGGTCTCTCATTATATATCCTCATACATTTCCTTCACCTCCTCACCGGGATATGCCAGAGTTGGTGCGTAAATCTGTATGACCTTCAGCAAATACCGTATGGTAATGTTGAGTATAAGATATGCAAACCTTGTTGACACATACAACAATATTTACAATGTTGTTAATGAGAGATTTGTGGACGATAAAACCAACCCTTGGGTCCCAAGCGTTGGGACAGATGGTCGCCCTCCTGTTGATAGAACAAGTTGCCGGATTCGAGGATTGCCGCGTCCTTTCCCTCTCTTTGGACCTCGGATAATTCTATAATATTCCAGTGCAACTTGTCTACCTATTTTTCCAAGTCTTCTCGTCAGTCTTTATGGTGCATGTGTTATATGTTGCCAGGTCGAGTCGTCTTAGGCAGCAACCCAACCTCAACCCGAGATTCTTAGCACCCCCCTGCCATGCCTTCACCATGGTCACCACCTAGTCAGGAATAGCAGGGCTGCCAGGGCTGGGGGCTGTCTCTTCATAATCTTCAATTAAGGATCAAAACGAAGAAGTGTTTACACTCCTGAGGACTAAGATGTAATGCCTCATTTCCAGTAAAATAGGGTCTCGAGATCTCTACACTCACAATACGAAACACAGCAGTATTAAGCCGCTATTTATCGCTGGTGTTCTGTGAGAGTGTGATACTTCCCCGATAGAGCCGACCCATTCGTGCTACAACCATAATACAGATGCAGCATGGCTCTACCACATATAAATAAATTGTTACCACTATGCGTGTCTATATTACTTTGCATATTTTCCCCTTCCTGCATCACGGCAGACTTTCAATGGTTACTAAGGGCTGTGAAGATAAGAGTAAAAAACCACGGGTTGGATTTAGGTTCTGGTTGGATTACTTAGCTGAAGTACCTATTCTGACTATAATAATAGTAAAAACAGAACAGTAGGATAACTCCCGCACTGCGCGAGACTAAAATGCCAAAATCCAAAAACTCCTATAACTAAAACCGCCCATGACTAATTGCTTGCATTTGTCTACTACTTAAATAGCATTTTTTTTAAACTAAGGGAAAAATTAAAACTTAACTAACCTGCCAGCAGTTTGATAGTTCTTTATTTTGTTGTACAGATCTGCCAATTTGGTTTTCAAAATGCTGGATTCAATTTTCTTGCACTGATCTAACAAACCCGCTTCATTTTCTTGATAAAGCTTCACTTCTTCGTTAGACAAGCCTACTTTTTTAAGCCATTCTAAGTGTTGAATGTCTTTCTCTGCTTTTCTAAAATCTTGTATGGACGATATACCATATTTTGTAAACGGTAAAACTTCTGTGGTTTTCTCAAATTCTTTGGGTAACTCAGAGCTAAAATATTCAAAACAAATAGCTGAAACGTTTGACATTTCCAATAAGAATCCCGATTTCTATTAGATATACTCACCACATCTTGTAAATATTATTATATATATATTTGTTTTTATCTAAAATCACAGATAACTCTTTCTAAGGACCTGCTTTCCATACCACTTTTTTTAAAAACCGAGACGACGCAGTTTTAATTCCATTTATTTCCCTTTTTTGCCATTTGTTGCTTTTTTATTTATTTGAAGGCATAGGGATCTACGCCCATACAGCCTAGTCTTTCGTGTGTTTTGTTTTCAAAACTTTTCAAATTAACCATTAGACCATTAAGCCCATGGACTCGCCTCGTATGATTATACCCTCTGCGCAAGTATTGGATGTAAAAATCTTTAATAAAAACTGCTTACGGAACCGATTTCGTAATTACAAGAATCGTATCCGTCGTAGGTGCTCTTTAAAAAATGCCGATTTGTGCGGCTAACGTGTGCAAAAAGAAGTCTTATACAAATTACTTATTCAAATTTACAAAAGATGGAGTTACATTCCATATGTAAGTACGTTTATTGTGATATATGCTTTCTTTCTATTATAATCATTTAAAAAAATATAAATAATAATCGAAAACTTTACCGATGAGATAATCGAGTACATAATATTTCATAAATATCGTAGTGATAATCGAAATGTTACAAGCACACTCCTTACGAGATTAGTTATATGTTTATCTTTTAAAGTCAACCCTTAGTTGCTACAAATTAGGTTTAAAATTGAACTCGCAAGCACATCGGCACTCTTAACGAGACTAGTTTCTATTAGCAACATATAAACAATAAAAGTGTAACTAAACTACTCAACCCTGCAGCGATCGCGCCTTGTAAAATAACGTAAATGGTCACGTCGATTACGTATGTAGTCCAATTTAAAATAAGGAGAAAGCTCTAAAATATCAATTAAAATGTAAAGAACGTATAGCTGATGTGAAGAATCGACGCTCCGGGAAGTCTGCAGTCTGTGAACACGTACAGGATCGCCCCCGTCACTACATCAGATTTGATAGACCACAAATCCTCGCTAAAGAACACCGATTCCTTCCAAGGATGATTCGCGAGGCTATTGAAATCAAAAAACATCCTAATTTCAATAAAGAAGATGGCTGGGTGCTACCATCTGCTTGGGATCCTATAATAAATAAAATTAAATCCCAACCCAAACATACAACTGCAAGACTTCAAGATACCATAAGTTCATACTGTGTAGATTGGAACAAAAGTTAAATTTTAATCTATGGTAACCGCGGTTAACTATGACATATGGACGTTGAACATCCCAGTCCCGCCCACAGGTCCCGCCCGTGACCATGAGTGCTGTAAAGCGTTCGAAACGTCAGGTATTTAAAAAGTTAAATATACGCGATAAATTCCGTAAAAACTAGCATTATTTCAATTTGTAGTGTTCACGTAAATATAAGAAATCATTAATTAAAATGTATTTTTATTTTATTATAAATATGAAACAAGGTAACATTTAGTCAACGGTTAATCATATTTAATAAACAAAAACCTTACGTATACGTTATACGTCCTTTTTTATTCAAATTATAATTAAAAAATCTTTTACATAATAATATATGAAAATATCACATTAATTTCGAAGTTAGATCCCCATCAGTTTACATATTTATTTTTCTAATCATTTGGTTCCAGAAATATCCAATTCTGAGATTATTTTACTGTAAGTTTAGTATTTAATCTCATTAAATCATAACTTTTTCTATGTTAATGTATTTGACTTACATGAGTGCGTAAAATGTTATAGTATTGGAGATTTAGATTTGTGAGTGCCATAATGACACAAAATTTTATTGAGTAGGTGTGCAGTACTGTCTATGTAATGTTTCCTCCCCCGCACCAAAAGTGACAGAATTTTTTGTTCGTAGCATTAGGCTTATTACTCGTCTCTTACGGCCCTCAGTTGCACCGACAGAAGTCGACTGGGCTAGGGCTCATAGTAACCTAACCGAGGGTTCGGGCCCAAATGGCCTATGGATAATTAATTTATAATGGCTGGATAAGCAAACACAAACTTACCGAGTTCCGGAGGTAGGGTCGACCACAAGGTACCGTCAGAGGCAAGTAAATGGTAGTTGTGAGTGGTGTAGGAAGGTGTGTAATGTTACCTGACGTCACCGATGTAATCGGCTAGCAGAACTACATGCGCTGCCCTGCTCCACAAGGTGCAAACATTCCTCGTTACTACGTTATCTGAACTCAAGTCTAACGTCACTTAGCACAAACTATAATCGAAGAGAAACGCGATCTCCTCCCGGATCACAAAGTTTAGCGTTCCTCCCGACAAAGCAAAAATTCCTTCGTAAGATATTAAAATACTACACAAGCCACTCGTAGACGCAAATTAATGGCAATCGAAGTTAAGTTAATCACTAAAACTCAAGGAAAGCCTCGTTGTCAAGTATATGAACGAAATAAGACAACTCAAAGGAGGCAGTCTTAATGCGACGTAACAATTCTAACCGACACGGCCGTCGCGTACAAGGATTATTCTAGACTAATTGGCCGGCCGCAGGTCGTATAACAAATGCCCCCCGCGCAAATCGTAAAACCGGTTCTTCGCCCGAGACGAGCGTTTTGCAAGTTTTAAGTTGTAGCAATTTGGCCTAAACAAACCCCCGCCCTGGGCATAAGGACTTATGCCCGCGAGTAAATTAGCAAACGGGATAGGGTCGTGATGGCACGTTGCAAGACCGAATCTCTAACCAAAATCTCGGCCACCCTAGGCACCCCATCCGGTCCATACGACAACTTAACAATAAGCCCACGGCGCCAATACAAAGGCAAAGCGTTGGGTTCCTTAAGTAACACGAGGTATCCAACCTGAAGAGGATCCGTCTTATCAGACCACTTAACGCGCTGCTGCAAAAGATGTAGGTACTCCGGAGACCATCGGTGCCAAAAACTCTGAGTCATTTGTTGCAGCATGTCAAATCTGCTCAACCGCGAAGAGTTTATTTCCCTGAAGGGGTACTTGGGCAGGGCGTTAAGCGGCTGGCCAATCAGGAGGTGGCACGGGGTTAGAACCTCCAAATCATTCGGATCGGACGGGAGGGGACAGAGGGGCCGAGAGTTGAGTACCGCCTCAATTTTACAGAATACAGTGGCAAGCTCCTCAAATGTCAAAATAGTTTCGCCAATAACGCGATGGAGATGCGTTTTTGCGACCTTAACCATCGCCTCAAAAATACCGCCCCAGTGTGGGCAAGCCGGAAGGTCGAATTTCCACTGGATGCCCTTCTTGGACATCGCAGTACCTAAATAAGTCCTGTTGCTGGACAGAAATTCGACGACCTCTTTCAAATATCTATCCGTGTCCTTATAATTCGTTCCGCAATCATACCGGATCAGGTCCTGCGAACCGCGACGCGATACGAAGCGGCCCAGCGTAGCCACAAAGGCTTCAGTGCTGAGGAGTGAACGGCCTTAGTGGCGAGGCACACGAAAACGCACAGATAGCGTTACGAAGGTTGGAGGACTTGACGAGGAAGGGGCCAGCAAAGTCAGTTCCGACTCCAGCGAATGGTCGGATGGCCCTAACGCGGTCGGATGGTAAGTCACCCATCATCGGCTGCGATATGGTGGCCTTCAGTTTATAACAAGGTATGCACTTAAAGATGACGCTCCGAATGGTGCGTCGGCCAGCCAAAATCCAAAACTCCCGCTGCAAAATAGCCGAAAGAGCGTTGCACCCAGCGTGGGCATTCTGAACATGATGGTGAGTTACCAGCAACCGAACAAAGGCGCCCTCCTTAGGGAGCAGTTGAAAATTTTTCAAAGCTTGTCGAGAGAGCTGTACCGTTCTAGCAGGGAGAAATCCCGAGTGGGCTTATAATTTCCACTCCTACTCGGGCTCGTAGGCCAGGCAATTCAATCGGTTCGGAGTATTTATTCTGGGGCCAGAATGACTGAGACTCAGTCAACCAACTGGGACCCCAACACAGCGGGTGGTCAACCAAAGAGGGGGCTTAACAGCCGCGAGAAGCGCAGACTGCGGTCTCCAGGTTAGAGACGTGCCATAATTCTGGACTTGAGAGACGCGGTTCGCCACAAAGACCTCAAGATTGTGAGGTGCATCTCTGAGCCAACAAAGTACTATCTTACTGTCCGACCAAGCGTAGACGTTCGTAATGTCGATTACAGACTTCAAAGACGAGTGAACGTGGTTGAGGAGTCGCGTGAGAAGAGCGGCTCCGGACAGTTCCAATTTAGGGATAGTTAAACGAGACCTAATGGGAGCAACCTTGCTTTTAGCAAGTACGAGATGGATGGAAGTATGGCCAGAAGAGCTCACAGTCCGCAAATATACAACAGGATAATTGCCTTTCTCAGAGGCGTCGCAAAATCCATGTAGCATAGCCCTGCATTTCCCTGGAGGTAGGAAGCACCTTGATATGGAGACCCGGTTGATGTCCGGAAGGGATGACACAATGGAGTGCCACTCTCGCAAGAGAGCACCGCTTATAGGGTCGTCCCAACCCAACCCGGATATCCAGAGCTTTTGTAGAAAGCACTTAGCCAAAAAAAATGACCGGAGTGATCCATCCATTAGGATCGAAGGTGCGGGCTACTGTAGACAGCACAGAGCGCTTGGTCCATGATTTAGGAGGGGGATCGAGTTTGACTCGATACGTGAAAGTATCCTGAACAGGCTGATATTGAATGCCCAGCACAGTCAACAAATTAGGATTTTCAGGGTGCTCAAATAGATGAGGGTCTTGTTGATCCTCTCCTGGGAGGTCCCTCAAAATGTGAGGGGAGTTCGACAACCATTTGCGCAACTCATAACCTCCGGACTTCAGGATGGCAATCAATTCGTCTCGCAATACAAGAGCCTCCTCGACGGTGGAGGCGCCCGTGCAAATGTCGTCCATGTAGACCGAAGTCTCCAAAATAGAAGCCCCCGAGCGTATTTTAGACGCTCTCTCTCAGCAAGTTCGAGGAGGGTTCGCATGGCGATATACAGGCTGGACCGGAGTCCACAGGTGGTGGTGTTCAACTCAAACACCTATATTG